CCGCCCGCCCGACCCGCCCGTTAGGGTCCGCGTCCCGCCCGTCCCGCCCCGTCCGTTAGGGTTCCCATGTGTCTTGCTGTATGCGCATCAGCCTTTAGTGTCCCGCCCGCCCGACCCGACCCGCCCGTTAGGGTCCGCCCGCCCGACCCGCCCGATAGGGTCCGCCCGTTTCGTTCCGGCCGTTAGGGTTCTCATGTGTCACGCTGTATACGCATCCGACTTTAGTGTCCCGCCCGCCCGACCCGACCCGCCCGTTAGGGTCCGCCCGCCCGACCCGCCCGATAGGGTCCGCCCGTCCCGTCCCGCCCGTTAGGGTTCTCATGTGTCACGCTGTATGCGCATCAGACTTTAGTGTCCCGCCCGCCCGACCCGACCCGCCCGTTAGGGTCCGCCCGCCCGACCCGCCCGATAGGGTCCGCCCGTCCCGCCCCGCCCGCCCCGCCCGTTAGGGTTCTCATGTGTCTTGCTGTATGCGCATCAGCCTTTAGTGTCCCGCCCGCCCGACCCGACCCGCCCGTTAGGGTCCGCCCGCCCGACCCGCCCGATAGGGTCCGCCCGTTCGTTCGGCCGTTAGGGTTCTCATGCGTCACGCTGTATACGCATCCGACTTTAGTGTCCCGCCCGCCCGACCCGACCCGCCCGTTAGGGTCCGCCCGCCGACCCGCCCGATAGGGTCCGCCCGTCCCGCCCGCCCGTTAGGGTTCTCATGTGTCACGCTGTATACGCATCCGACTTTAGTGTCCCGCCCGCCCGACCCGACCCGCCCGTTAGGGTCCGCCCGCCCGACCCGCCCGATAGGGTCCGCCCGTCCCGCCCGTCCCGCCCCGCCCGTTAGGGTTCTCATGTGTCTTGCTGTATGCGCATCAGCCTTTAGTGTCCCGCCCGCCCGACCCGACCCGCCCGTTAGGGTCCGCCCGCCCGACCCGCCCGATAGGGTCCGCCCGTTTCGTTTCGGCCGTTAGGGTTCTCATGCGTCACGCTGTATACGCCCGCCCGATCCGACTTTAGTGTATACCATCGACTTTAGTGTCCGCCCGACCCGACCCGCCCGTTAGGGTCCGCCCGCCCGACCCGCCCGATAGGGTCCGCCCGTCCCGCCCGTCCCGCCCCGCCCGTTAGGGTTCTCATGTGTCTTGCTGTATGCGCATCAGACTTTAGTGTCCCGCCCGCCCGACCCGACCCGCCCGTTAGGGTCCGCCCGCCGACCCGCCCGATCCCGTCCGCCCGTTTCGTTTCGGCCGTTAGGGTTCTCATGCGTCACGCTGTATACGCATCCGACTTTAGTGTCCCGCCCGCCCGACCCGACCCGCCCGTTAGGGTCCGCCCGCCCGACCCGCCCGATAGGGTCCGCCCGTCCCGTCCCGCCCGTTAGGGTTCTCATGTGTCACGCTGTATGCGCATCAGACTTTAGTGTCCCGCCCGCCCGACCCGACCCGCCCGTTTGGGTCCGCCCGCCCGACCCGCCCGATAGGGTCCGCCCGTCCCGCCCGGGCCGTTAGGGTTCTCATGCGTCATGCCGTATATGTATCAGACTTTAGTGTTCCGCCCGCCTGTCCCCAGCCGCCCGTTAGGGTCCGCCCGCCCGACCCGCTTGCTAGGGTCTGCCCCGTCCCGCCCCGCCCGTGAGAGTTCTCGTCCTCCTCTTCGTCCTCGTTCTGTGCCTCCTTCTCCTCTGCCTCCTCCTCCTGCGTCCCCCCTCTTGCTCCTCCTCCTTCTCTTCCTTCTCGTCCTCTTTGTCGTCGTCCCTCTCCTAATACACCGCCTCATCTTTAGTACTTCGCATCGGCCTCCAGCGTTCAGTCCCCCGCGTTCCTCCTCCTCTCCTCCTCCTCCTCCTCCTCCTCCTCCTCCTCCCCCCTCCCGTCATCGTCAGCACTTTCACCGCATGCCCGACCATATCTCCTCACACCCCTCACACGGGTCGTGGCCCCATATGCAGCTCCACCGAAGGCTCCAGTGGCTGCGTCCGCATGGCACCTCCATCCGCCCGGCCCGAGCGCGCAGGCGAAAGTAAAACGCCACAGGCCAAAAACCCAGGTCACGATTCCTTCTTTGGGCCCCAGAACGCCACAGGCAAAAACCCAGGTCACGATTCCTTCTTTGGGCTTCAGGAGCGCCACTGACGCGGAGGAGAGCAGGGGAGCACTTCCTCTACACGCGCGCGCTCTCGGCAAGACCCGGAGGCCCGACGCGCAAGGCAGAAAAAAAGCGCCACAGGCAAAAACCCAGGTCGCGATTCCTTCTTTGGGCCCCAGGAGCGCCACAGGCAAAAACCCTGGTCGCGATTCCTTTTGTGAGCCAGGCCGAGGTCAGCGGACGAGAACCCCCCCGCCCGGCGCGCGCGCCCCGGCCAGTGCCCCGGGGACCCGACGCGCAAGGCAAAAAAAAAAGCGCCACAGGCAAAAAAAAACGTTTTTACCTGTAAAGCTTTTTTTTTGCCTTGCGCGTTGCAGCCGGAAGTATCGTACGTTTTCCTCTGATCTGCTCGATTCTCCTTCGCGGCCCTTCTCCGCTCAAACTCAATCCCTGGACCCCTCCCCAGGTCCATCTTGACCCGTTTCTCAATGCGGATCCAGCCGTGGCCACGAGAGGCTTCCCCGAGGCCCACAGGGACGAAAACGCTGGGGAGGGCCGCCGTTGTCTCTCCAGACCCCCGACGTCATGACTTTTTTCGTAACGCCGATCCCCCGAGGTCTCGACCCGTTCCCTGGGACCGGTGTCTCGTCCCGAGTCCTTTTTTTGACGGCCACAGGGGCCAGGCGAGGGCCTCCAGAGTCGGGGCTCAAGAGACGGGGGTCCATGCAAACGGGGGTCAGCCACAGCGCCGGATCTACGACGACGACGAGAATGAGGACGAGGACGACGTTGTTTCCCCTCCCATTTGGTTTTTCTCCCTTTCACTTTTGAGGTGAGAGGGAGAAAAACAAAGAGGGAGCGGAAACAGCGTCATCCTCGTCGTCGCCTTCGCCTTCGCCCTCGTCCTCGTCCTCGTCCTCGTTATTGTTCTGGTTCTCGTCGTCCTCGCCCTCGTCCTTGTCCTCGTCCTTGTTGTCGTCGTCGTCCTCTTCGTCGTCGCCCAGACCCCCGACGTCATTATCCTTAGGCTTACGCCACACCGCAGACCCCTTGGGGAACTGGCAGTTGTTGCGCGTTGCTCCTGAGGGTCACTTGTGCGCCTTTGGGGAGGCTTCTTCGTCCGCGTTTGGGTCTTCGTGGGGGCCTCTTGGGGGCCTTTTCGGGGCCTCTTGGGCTGACATTCTCAGCATTCGCCGTGCACGCATGGGGATGGGGCGAGAGCCCGCGTATAAGACGGAGGGCATATGTCAAAACACCCGACGAATGATTATCGAATGGCCTTCGGCACATCCCGCCACCGCGCTTGGGTTGCGGGTCTGACGCCACTCGGATGGCTGATGGGATCTCATGGGAGGCGTTTCGGGGACGTCTTGGAGGCAGTTGTTCCCAACCCTCCTGCGTGAAGTATTCGTTGTGAATAGAACGCCGTCCGCGTGTCTTCTCCTTCTCCCGCCCTCCTCCTCCTCTCCTCTTTGAGCCTGCCTCTCAACTCGTTCCTTCCTGCGTGCCAGCTGGCCTCCTACATGGCCATCCCTGGGCGGCACTGCGATCTGCGAAACCGTCGCCACTTTCCAGGGCTGCGGGGGGGTCCAGCGGAGTGACATCAAATGAGACCTCGCCACCTCTTGGGGGCTGCGATCTTCGAGACTGCCGCCACTTTCGAGGGCTGGTGTGGTGTCCAGCGGAGTGACGTCTTACCCAGACCACCTGGAGGCCTCGCCGCCCCTGTGGGGCTGCGATGTGCGAAGCAGTTGCCACTTTCGAGGGCTGCTGGGGGGGTCCAGCAGAGTAACGTCTTACCCCGACACAAATGAGACCTCGCCATCTCTGTGAGGCTGCGATCTTAGAGACTGCCGCCACTTTCGAGGGCTACTGGGGGGTCCAGCGGAGTGACGTCGTACCCAGACCACCTGGAGGCCTCGCCACCCCTGTGGGGCTGCGATGTGCGAAACAGTTGCCACTTTCGAGGGCTGCTGGGGGGGTCCAGCAGAGTAACGTCTTACCCCGACTCAAATGAGACCTCGCCATCCCTGTGGGGCTGCGATCTTAGAGACTGCCGCCACTTTCGAGGGCTACTGGGGGGTCCAGCGAAGTGACGTCTTACCCAGACCACCTGGAGACCTCGCCACCCCTGTGGGGCTGCGATGTGCGAAACAGTTGCCACTTTCGAGAGCTGCTGGGGGGTCCAGCGGAGTGGCGTCTTTTTCAAACCACCAGGAGACCTCGCCATCCCGGTGAGGCTGCGATTTGCGAAACTGTGGCCATTTTCGAAGGCTGCTGGGGGGTCCTGCGTAGAGACGTTTCACTCAGACCACCAGGAGACCTCGCCATCCCTGTGAGGCTGCGATCTGCGAAACAGTCGCCACTTCCGAGGGCTGCTGTGGGGCCCAGCGGAGTGACGTCGTACCCGGATTCAGATGCGACCTCGCCATCCCTGTGGGTCTGCGATCGGTGAAGCAGTCGCCATTTCCGAGGGCTGCTGGGGGGCCCAGCGGAGTGACGTCTTACCCAGATTCAGATGCGACCTCGCCATCCTTGTGGGGCTGCGATCGGTGAAACCAGCGGTATTCTCGAGGGATGCTGTGGGGCCCAGCGGAGTGACATCTTACGCGGACCACCCGGAGACCTCGCCATCACTCGGGGGGATGCGATCTGCGAAAGAGTCGCCACTTTAGAGGGCTGCTGGGGGGGTCCAGCGGAGTAACGTCTTACGCGGGCCACCAAGAGACCTCGGTATCCTTGGGGGCTGCGATCTGCGAAACTGCCGCCGATTTCGAGGACTGCTGGGAGCTCCAGCCGAGTGACGCTTACCCAGACCACTAGGAGACCTCGCCACCCCTGTGGGGCTGCGATCTGCGAAACTGTCGCCACTTCAGAGGTCTGTTGGGGGGTCCAGCGGGGTAGCGTCTTACCCAGACCACCAGGAGACCTCGCCATCCCTGTGAGGCTGCGATCTGCAAAACTGTCGCCACTTCCGAGGGCTGCTTGGGTCCAGCGGAGTGACGTCTTACCCAGATTCAGATGAGACCTCGCCGGTGTTGTGGGGCTGCGATCTGTGAAACGGTTGCCATTTTCGAGAGCTGCTGGGGGGGATCGAGCGGAGTGACGTCTTACCAATATTCAGATGACCGCCATCCTTCGAGGGGCTGCGATGTGCGAAATTGTCGCCACTTCCGAGGGCTGCTGGGGGTCCAGCAGGGTGACGTCTTGTCCAGATTCGGGGAGATTCGCCATCCCCATGGAGCTGCGATCTGCCAATGAGTCGCCACTTTAGAGGGCTGCTGTGGGGCCCAGCGGAGTGACACCTTACTCGGACAACCAGGAGACCTCGCCATCCCTGCGGCGCTGTGATCCTCGAAACTGTTGTCACTTCAGGGGGCTGCTGGGGGTCCAGCGGAGTGGCGTCTTATGTGGACCACCGTGGTCCAGCGGAGTGACGGCTTTTCTTGTTACCTCAGGATTGTTTCGAGTTCTGGGGTCGTGAGGCGGGGGAGGGGAAACGCGGAGGAGGAGGAGGAAGAGGAGAGGGAGGGAAGAGGTGGAGGAGGAAGAAGGGGAAGACGAGGTGGAGAAGGAGGAGGAGGAGGAGGAAGAGGAGGAACCGGGGGAGGAGGTCCGGCACGTGCTGCCGCGGCGGCGCCAGCGCGGTTCTTGCACTAAACATAAGCAGGTTTTAATAGTTTGTTCGAGCGCCGCGGCGACATGGCGCAGGCAGCTGCGTCTTTAGCGTACTACCGACAAGCGACACTCTTTTGTCTCCTCCTGTCACTGTCGTCGTCGTCGTCCTATGCCCCCTGCCACCTTCCCTCTGCTGCTGCCGCGCTGACGGTTCGGTCCCCCACGCGACCTTCTCCTGCCCTTCGTTCCCGCCCCCATGTTCTCATCAAGCCTGTGCCCTCGCTCCTCGTCCTTCTGTTGTTGTCTTGTGAATCGTGCTACGTGAGCGCATACCATGTAGCTTGGCGCCAGCACTGTCATTGTCCTGGCAAGTTTGGGCCAACTCCTCTTGCCACTTGATGCACATGGGTTGGGGGCGTCACAGGCTAACGGGCATGCGTGGGGAAACGGGCGAGAACCCACCTATACAGACGGAGGGCATCGATCTTAACACCCGACGAATGATTATCGAAGACGCCTACGGCGAATCACCGCCGCCCCCTGCCTTTTTGGAAGCGCCTATGTGGCCGAACGTTGAGGCCAGACCTGCCAAGCTATCGGACCACGTGTTCCCCGAATCGGTTTGGAAAGCCTTCGGGGAACACGTGGGCATCTTGAAGGTCATCTTGGCCGTCTTGGAGGCCTCTTGGGCAAGCTTTGGGCGATCTTTGGGGCTTTTTGGGCCGTCTCGGGCCAGCTTCGAGCCAACTTCGGCCATCTTGGTGGGTTCCTGGCACGTCTGAAGCCGTCGGAAGCCGTTTGGGGGGCCTCTATGGGCCGACTTGGGGCCCGCTTGGAATGCTCCAGGGCCGTCTTGGACGACCGGTCTTGGGGCGAATTTGAGGGCCTCCTTGGGCCGCCTCGGACGTTGCGAACGCCCAAGAGGCGAATGTGCGAAAAATACATGTTTTACAAAAGAAATGGGGCGAGCGTTGCTTCTGGAGGACCTCTTGGGACGCCTCTTGGGGGCTTCTTGGGGCGCATCAGGGGCCTCTTGAGCCGTCTGGAGGCCGGAGTGGGCGTTTTGGATCAATCTTTCAGCGACTCGTGGCCCTCGTGGACCGCCCCAGGGGCCTGGCGAGGGCACCCAGAGGCCATTCTCCGATCCTGAGGTGCTCGCCCTCAGGATCATCGTCGTCCTCGTCGTCGCCCGTGTCATCGTCGTCCTCGTCGTAGTCGTCATCCTCGTCCTCGTCGTCCTCGTCCTCGCCCTCGCCCTCGCCCTCGTCGCTCTCGTCGTCGTCGCGTCGTCGTCGTCGTCGCCCTCGTCGTCGTCCTCGTCGTCGTCCTCGTCGTCGTCCTCGTCCTCGTCCTCGTCCCCGTCGTCAACCCTTGTCCTCCTCGCCCTCGCCCTCGTCGCTCTCGTCGTCGCCCGCGTGAGCTCGTCGCCGCCCTCGTCGTCGTCGTCCTCGTCGTCGCCCTCGTCGTCGTCGCCGTCGTCGCCCTCCTCCGCCCCCGAGGTGCTGGACTCCCTCGCGGGGAGCACCGGCCCCGGCCTGGCGCGGCAGGCCGTGGCCGCGGCGGGCGCGGCGCGAGGGCCGCGGCGGAGCCCCGCCGCGGCGCGGGGCGGCCGCTCCGGGCGCGGCGAGCGCGTGGGCCGCCGGCCGAGGGACGAGGCCGGCGGGCAGCGGTGGGGGGAAGCTCAGGAGAGGAAAAAACACACAGACACAATGAATCGTCGATTCCTTAGAAAATATGGGAAAATATGGGCAGTGGGGGGGAATACAGAAACCTAGAAAATATGGGAAAATATAGGGACTCTTTTTATTTGTGTGTATTTATTTGCGTGTCCTGGGGCCCCTTCAGAAGCGCACGCACGGTCGGTTCGCGTCTGTCGGCGGCGAGCGACCCAGAGATCCAACGCATCGAAAGAATCAAGACGGGAATTTGTCGTTCGCATTTCTCGGCCTCTGGGGGCCCTCGCCGGGCCCCGGGACCGACAAAAGAGGATTCAGGATGGAAAGCCCGGCCTGGGGAATGGGTCGAGACTTCTGGGGACCCCGCATTGAAAAAATCACGACATCGGATCTCTGGGGAGAGGGAGAAGGCCTTTTCAGAAGGCGGGCCACAGGCTTTCGCCGCAGCTTTTCGCCCCTCCTGATCCGCACTGGCGGCCGCCTTGATCTGAGTGTCAGGGCCTGAGTCGGCGATTATGTCCCTTGAGGCCTAGCACTGTTTTTCTGGACTCAACAAGTTCTGACCTTCATGGCTCTCTGTGCTTTCGGGGAAGGCCGGTGGACTTCCAAGCCTTCTGAGAAGGCCCGCCCCTTCTCACTTCCCCAGGTCGGCCAGCCGACGAGCTCAGCAGGGCTCGTTTCGATTCCTCCGATTCGATTTGATTTCGATGGTTTCCGATTCCGAATGTGGATTCCCATTTCGATGTGGACTCCCGACTCGACTTCGGATTCCGATGTGGATTCCGCTTTCTTCGCGGAGGCCTATTAGCCTGCCGATGTCCGCCAATTCGGCTCATCTCGGCTTGGCTGCAGATTTCCGCCGATCCGATTCATGTCGAAGGCCGGTCGCCGCCGATGACCGCCGGCCGGCCGACGAGGTCAGGGGCAGCGTTCCCACGGCGGAAGGTTTCGTCTGGATGTTTGATCCCTGGGGGCCCTTGCATACCTGGCGTTGGGACCGTGAAGCGTACAGTCGATTCGCGTCGTGTCGACCAGTGGCGACCCCGCCGCCGGCGTTCATCGTTGAACGCCGCCGGCGACCCAGAATCGGTCAGTGTTGAACGGCCTGGCGTGTCGGAAGCGGCGGATCGTGCCAGGTCGACCGGGAACAGACGCCGCAGTCGGCACGACGCGAAGCAGCCCTATACGATCAGGAACCGCTTGACAGCGTGTCGCTCCGCCCGTTCTTCAGGAGGGGAACAGACACAGACACAATTAATCGTCGACCCCCCAGAAAATCTAGGAAAATATTGGAAGTGAGGGGGGAGACAAAAGCCCCGAAAATATGGGAAAAGATGGGGAATCCTCTTATCTGTGTGTATTCATTTGTGTGTCCCAGGGCCCCTTCAGTTCTGGCCCACCACGTCTCCGTGCGACGCGCTCTCCACTCCGCGGCCCCCGGGCGTCCACGGCCCGGGCTCTGCCCCGCCCTGCGCCCCGCGGAGCGGCGCGGCGCGGCGTCGGCCTGCAGGGGACCGCGTGTCGCCGGGGCCGCCGCCGCCGCAGGTGGCCCGGACAGGCAGCACCATGCAAGACTTAAGTCGAGCCTGTCCCCCATACAGGGGGATTGTCGACGAAAAAAAAGAAATACAACAATAATAATAATAATAATAATACTAATAATACTAATAATACGACTACGAATAATAATAATAATAATAGTAGTAATAATAATAATTATAATGATAATAGTAATAAATCAAGAATCCAAAAATAGCCTGGGGACGATTTGATTTGATTTGTTTTGGCAATTTTGTTGCACATTTGGGTATTTCTTATTTTTCGTCGAAAATCCTCTTGTAATTAGGGGGACACGCCCGACCTAATGAAAGACGTCAGGACGGAGGTTTTTCTCTATTCTCGGCCTCTGGGGGCCCTGAAGGACGGGCACCTGGGAGCGGGATAAAGAGCCCGCCCCTTTGGGACAGGGTCGGGGCTCCTGGGGAGCGCGCGTTGGAAAAGTCAGGGCTCACCCGTCGCCGACACTGGGGCCTGATGGCGAAAGTACGCCAGTGAATTTCTCTGAGTACACTAAAGATGGGGGGGGGTCCAGAACCCCCCCCCCCCCTCCCTTGAAGGGGGGGGGGGGTCCGGCCCCCCCCCCCCCCCCCTCCCCCCCCCCTCGGCGCTGAAAAAGGGGGGGGGGGGGTCGGACCCTCCCCCCCGTTGTGCAGGGAGTACGGAGTTTGGAGTAGGGAGTGGTGAGTAGTGAGTAGTGAGTTAGTCCGTAGTGAGTAGTGAGTATTGGGTGGTGTGTAGTGGGTAGTGAGTGGCGAGTAGGGAGTAGGGAGTAGGGAGTGGGAAGTAGTGAGTAGTGAATAGTGAGTAGTGTGTACTGATATGTGAGTAGTGAGTGGCGAGTAGTGAGTAGTGAGTAGTGAGTAGCGAGTAGCGAGTAGTGAATACTGAGTAGGGAGTAGGGAGTAATGAATAGTGGGTAGTGAGTAGTTGGGAGTCAGGAGTGAGCGAGGCGGGAGTAGGGGGTAGTTGGGAGTAGTTAGGAGTGGGTAGGAGTAGTTGGGAGGCGGGAGTGAATGGTGGGTAGTGAGTAGTTGGGAGTAGTCAGGGGTAGGTAGTAGGGAGTTGGAAGTAATGAGTAGTAGGTGGCGAGTAGTGATTAGTGCGTAGTGAGTAGTGGGTAGTTCGTAGTGCGTAGTGACTAGTGAGTAGTGAGTAGTGAGTAGTGAGTAGTGAGTGGTGACTAGCGAGTAGTGAGTAGTGAGTAGTCAGTAGTGAGTAGTGAGTACTCAGTAGTACTTAGTGAGTAGTGAGTAGTGAGTAGTGATGAATAGAGAGCAGTGGGTAGTGGCAGTGAATAGAGAGCAGTGAGTAGAGGCTATGTCGTGACTAGTGGGTAGGACGTAGTGAGTAGTGAATAGTGAGTAGCGGGGAGTGGGTAGTGAGTATTGAGTAGCGAGTATGGGAGTAGCGAGTAGTGAGTACTGAGTACTACGTAATCAGTATTGTGAAGGGAGTAGGGAGCAGCGAGTAGTTGGTAGTGAGTAGTGATTTGTGGGCAATGAGTAGTTAGTAGTGAGTAGTGACTATTGGATAGTGGGTAGTGGGTAATGAGTAGTGACTAGTGAGTAGTGATTCGGGAGTAGTGAGTAGTGCTTAGTGAGTAGTGAGTATTGAGTAGTGGGTAGTGAGGAGTGAATGGTGAGTAGTGAGTAGCGAGTAGGGAGTAGCGAGTAGTGAGTAGTGAGGAGCGAGTAGGGCGTAGTGAGTAGTGAGTAGAGAGTAGTCAGTAGTGAGTAGTGGGTAGTGATTAGTGAGTAACGAGTAGGGAGTAGCGAGTAGCGAGTAGTGAGTAGTAAGTAGGGAGTAGGGAGTATGGAGTAATGAGCAGCGAGTAGGAAGAAGTGGGTAGCGAATAGTTGGTAGTGAGTAGCGATTGGCGATTAGTGGGTGGTCGGTAGTGAGTAGTGTCTAGTGACTAGTGACGAGTGAGATGTGACTAGTGACTAGAGGCTATGTCGTGACTAGCGGGTAGGAAGTAGTGAGTAGTGAATAGTGAGTAGCGGGGAGTGGGTAGTGAGTATTGAGTAGCGAGTATAGGAGTAGCGAGTAGTGAGTACTGAGTACTATGTAGTCAGTATTGTGAAGGGAGTAGGGAGCAGCGAGTAGTTGGTAGTGAGTAGTGATTTGTGGGCAATGAGTAGTTAGTAGTGAGTAGTGACTACTGGATAGTGGGTAGTGGGTAATGAGTAGTGACTGGTGAGTAGTGATTAGGGAGTAGTGAGTAGTGCTTAGTGAGTAGTGAGTATTGAGTAGTGGGTAGTGAGGAGTGAATGGTGAGTAGTGAGTAGGGAGGAGGAGGTAGTGAGTAGGGAGTAATGAGTAGCGAGTAGTGGGTGGCGGGTAGTGAGTAGTGGATAGTGAGTAGTGAATCGTGAGTAGCGAGTAGGGGGTAGCCAGAAGTGAGTAGCGAATAGCGAGTAGTCAGTAGTGGGTAGTGAGTAATGAGTAGTGAGTACTCTTTGGGGCTGGGGTTAGTGGTTGGGGTTAGGAATAGGGTTTTGGGTTACGGTGAGGACTAGGGGTAGGGGTGGCGGGGGTCGGGTTCCGGAGTCAGGGGGCGGCGTGGCGAAAGGGGGGGAGGGGGGGGGTCGGACCCCCCTCCACCTCTTGAAAGGAGGGGAGGTGGGGGGTCCCCGACGACGGATCGGGGAACGGGGCGGAGGGGGGGGGGATTCCCCGACGACGGATCGGGGAAGGGGGGGACGGGGGGGTCCCCGACGACGGATCGGGGAAGGGGGGGGGGGGGTCCTAACCCCCCCCCCTTGGGGAGATCCAGCGGCGCACCCTCCCTGATGGCCCACCCCGTTCCCCAGACCCGTTTGCTCATGGCGTGACGCCCAGAGGTCTCGACCCCTTCCCCGGGGCCGGTTTCTCGTCCCGAGTCAGTTTTTGACGGCCCAGAGGCCCGGTATCGACTTAACGTAAGAGTGACCCTTCGCCGGAGTGACCTTTGGTGCGCGCTCACTGGGGTCCCCAGATCGCCGCGCTCGTTGCGATATTCGCGTGTTGCGCGCTTGTGTCTGGCCTCCTCGCGCCCCCCAAAAAGGTGCGCACCAAAGGTCACTCTTGCCCAGGGTCACTCTTACATGCAGCCGACAGCAAGGACCCCGAGAGATCAAGAAATTCTGAGAAGCCTCCCGTCGCGATGTTTTCCTGACTCGAGGGGGGTCTATAGGCTGGGAGAGCGTGCAGGTTCGCTATCGGTGGCCTGTCGCCGACCTTCTCCTCGGCGATGCGTCGCCGTGTCCGGCTCGCAGTTTCCCGAGCCTGTGCCACGCGCAGAGGGAGGTAGGGGGGGGGGGGGGGAAGGCTTCTTAGAAGCACCCTTGCTCCTTAGAGGGCACGGGCCTTCCCTATAGATGTAGGGCGGGCGCCTCCTGAGAAGCCTTCCCCCCTCCCCCTTCTCCCCCCGTGCGCTGCCGCCCCAAGAGCCTGTGCCGGCCCCCCTCCCCCTGGCGCTCCCCCCTCACGAGGAGGACCCGCCCGACGAGCCCGGCGCGCCCGCGGGCACGGCGGAGGCCGAGGATGGGCAGGGGGAGGAGCCCAGACAGTGGGCGCCTCGAGCAACATCGAGGCGGAGGGTGTTCACAGTCTTCGGCCTCTCCGGGGCCCTTATACTGGGCCTCGGGGCCGTCAAAGAACGTCTCTCGGGGTGAACAACCGGTCCCGGGGGAGTGGTCGAGAGGTCGGGGGGCCCGCGTCTCGAGCAAGGCGAGGCGCCGACGATGCATGTCGCCGCGGTGGAAGCGGGTCCTGTGGGAAACGGGTCCTAAGTTTTTGTCGCCGGGCTCGGGCTCTCAGGGGCCCTCCACGGGCCCCGGGGCTGTCAGAAAGCGAGTCGGGATGGAAAGCTGGTCCGTGGGCAGGCACCAGGGTCCAGGACCTGGTTCCCTCAGGGCCCGTGCCCCCCGTGCTGAGCTAATCCTATGGTCTTCCCCATCCTCCCGTGTTGGGTTCTGGTTTTGAATAGGGCAGGGTGGTATCCACTCCTTCTCCTTCTTTTCCTCCCTCCTGCCCCCTCCTGCGTTGCTCCCTGGGAGGCTGCGAGCTGCGCAGCCGTCGCCAGGTTGTTGGCCTCATGGCAGGCTCGGCGGAGGTGGGGGCCGCGCGGATCCATTGGGGGTCCTCGCAGCTCCCTGGGATGCTGCGAACTGCGCGATTGTCGCCGCGTGCGTGGACTCCTGGGGCTTGGCATCGCTCGGACGTGTGCATATTTTCTCGGCGAGAACCATCGAGGACCATCCTGGACCATCGAGCCAACAAAAAAACACGCACGGAACCGAGCGTGTTTTTTTTTGCTCGATGGACGTCCGAGCGACGGCAAGGGGAGGTCCAGCGGAGTCGGGGGCCACGGGGATCCACTGGGGACGTTGCTGCCCCCTGGGTGGCTGCAAACTGCGCAACTGTCACCGCTATCGTGGGCTCCTGGGAGGTCCAGCGGAGTCGGGTGCCATCGGGATACATTGGGTACCTCGCTGCTCCCTGGGTGACTGCGAGCTGCGCAACTGTCACCATTTTCGTCGGCTGGGAGGTCCAGCGGAGTCGGGGGCCACGCGGATCCATGGGGTACCTCGCTGTACCTTGGGAGATTTTCGAACTGCGCAACTGTCGCAACGTTAGTAGGGTTCTGAGACGTCCAGCGGAGTCGGGGGCCACTGCGACCTGCGCAACTATCACCATTTTGTTGGGCTTATGGGAGGTCAAGCGCAGTCGGGGTCCAGGGAGGTTCAGCGGAGTCGGGGGCCACGCGGACCCACTGGGGACCTAGCTGAGTCCTGGGAGGCTGCGAGCTGCGCAACTGTTACCACTGTCGTGGGCTCCTGGGAGGCATGGCGGAGGTGGGGGCAGCGCAGATCCATTTGAGAACTCGCGGCTCCCTCGGGTGCTGCGATTTGCGCAACCGTCGCCACTTTCGTGGGCTCCTGGGATGCACGGCGGAGGTGAGGGCGGTGAGGGCAGCGCAGATCGTGCATATCTGGCGATGTGTTCATATTTGTAAGGACCGTTCATACAAATATTCGCCTCGCGTGGAGAAGGGCGCTGTTTCTGCTTATGGATCTCGATCCTTGGGGCCGGGATCGGACCCCAGGAACACCAACACATAGACCCGCGTCGCAAAGCTACAGAGGGTCGGCGGCTCCTGGCACCGCGGCTTCCAAACTGCCATATCGGAGGGTGTGCAGGGCCGGGCCACTTCCGATCTCTGATCGGTCCACTTCGTCATCGATCTCGGCCAGATCGATCCGGTTCGTTTCAGATTCCCTGACGATCCGATGCGGCCCGATGCGCGCATGGCGTTTCTGTGCACCCTGGCGCAGCCGATCCGCTTCGACTTCGACCGGGTGCCGATGCAGCCCGATCCAACGCACGCATCGATTCGATGTGGTTTCCAGAAGCGGTGACGACTTATCCCGGAAGCGGTCGTGGAGGAGTCCAGGCCTCCCACATGGAGCCGGAGCAGATGGGGTCGGAGGTTCGCGCAGCATGATCGATGTGGCGCGACCTTGAGCGTGTTCGTCTCCATCCCGGCGTCGCCCGTGCATCGGTGGTGCAACGGCGATGCGGTGCGATGCTCCGACCCCATGAACTCTGGCCCCGTTCGGAAGGCCTGTCAGGGAAGGGGTGTCTTGGGATCCTAAAACAAAACAGCAACCGACATCATAGACATAGGTACTGTTGCCCAGGTTTCGTAGTTTCACCTTTGTGCTTCCAGGGACGTCCAGTGACCGTGAGTGGCCACGGCTCCGCCAAGCACACGGTGACCAGTTCAGTGCAGGTTAACGGTGGTGACGAAGGGTTTCCCCGGCCTTCGGCTCTCCAGGGCCTCCGGGACCCAGGGCAGCCGTCAGAAGACGGCTCGGGAATGAGGAGCTGGCCCGCGGGTAAGGCCTGGGGTCCAGGACCCGCTTCCGCCAGCATCCAGACCCCAGATGTCTTGTCAAGAGTCAGGGCGGAGGCGCAGGCTTTGCGGCCTTCGGAGGCCATCCCGCCGGGGCTCGGGAGACCGTCATGAAGCGACTCGGGATGAAACGGCTGCCCTGGGGAGCGGGTCGAACTTGCGGGGACTCCGCATCGAAAAATGATGACGCCGGGTGTCTGGGCCCCGAGGGTCCAGCCCCTCGGCTTTCTCCTTTGACGCCCCTCTCGGGAGGTCGTCGACGCGAGGGCCCCCCCTCCCCCCCCCCAGGGAGCAGTGCATGGCTTCGCGGCCCCCTCTTGCGGTCGGCCGGCGAGGAGGGCGGCGGCGGCGAGGAGGACGACGGGGCAGAGGTGGTCGACCTGGACGCCTGAGCGCGCCGCTCCCGCTCCGACGGCGTGCGCGAGAGGGCTACATCCCCAGACCCCCGACGTCATGATAAATTCAATGGCGCGACCCCCACCGAAGGTCCGGGACCCCTTCCCCAGGACTGGTCCTTCATCCCGACGCGGCTTTTGACGGCCCCGAGGCCCTCGTAAGGGCCCCGCGGGAGACCAAAAATCCTGAGCAACTTGCCGTCGTGGCTTTTGTTCTGACCCGAGGGGGTCTTGGTCGGTGGCGTCGCCGTCGGAGGTCCCGGGGCCCCGCTGGGGGTGCTCGGCACCCTGGCCATGACCGGGCGCACCTCGAGAAAGGCCGGCCGGGCCGATCGAGGCGAAGTTCGCGGCGGCCCCCTCCCGCCCAGCGTTTTGCTCGTCCTCGGCTGGGAGGGCCTCTCGGCGGCTCCTCGCCGCCGCGGCCGGAGCCGCCTCGGGACGCGGGGGCCACTTGGAGGGGTCTTGGGCCCGATTTTGAGTTGCGGGCGACGAGGCGGAGGAGGAGGAGGAGGAGGAGGAGGAGGAGGAGGAGGAGGAAGGATGATGATGATGCGCAGGAGGAGGAGGAGGAGGAGGAGGAGGAAGAGGAGGAGGAGGAGGAGGAGGAGGAGGAGAAGGTGGATGGTCCGACGACGACGACGAGCAACGGCGATGACGACGACGACGACGACGACGGCGAGCAGCGGCGAGCGATGGCCGGCAGCGGAGAGCAACGGCGAGCAACGGCATGGGTCCAGGGCCTGGATAGAGCGCTGGCGAAGCGTCCTGGCGTGCCTGCAGGTCCACCCAAAGCATGCTCTAAGAGCCTTGCTTTGTGGTCATGCGCGATATGCTCTTAGAACACTGTCGTTGTTCTTAGTGCATTCATGCGTTTTGAGAGTAGGCCTACAGGTATGCTTGGACGGCCAGTCCCTGCTCGATATGAGCGGCACTTGGCCCGACGACGAGCAAACGTGAGCGACGGCAGCGGCACTCGGCTCGGCTTCGCGGCCGCCTGCGCGTGTGGCGAGCGTCGGGGTCCGTGCGCCCGCGGGCGGGCGGGTGGATGGTCGACCCGCGGCGGCCTCTGCGAGCCGTCGCCGGCCTGAGTATCAGCGCGCGCCTGGCGCGCGCGTCGAAGAACAAGGGAAAAAGCGGATGAACTAGTAGTCGGCGCCACCCGAAGATACCAACACCATGTGTGCGTCGCCTCCGGAGCGAACCCTTCCTGGCCGTGCCGCCGGGGAGACGATCTTTTACAGGATGGATATGCGGCATGTTCGGGTCGGGCGCGCGCCTCCGCGGAGGACACGTCGTGCCAGTGTGCCCTTCTGCGTCCCAGGTCGTTCCGAGGATCGGGCAGCAGCGGCCCCCCCCCCCTGACGTCCTCGCGTGGTCCGCCCTGTCTGGGCCTTCCGGGCGGCGCCTCGTCGCCGCGGGTGGATCCGCCCCGAAGAGGCGGGCGGGGACGGACGCCCCGAGAGGTCCCGGGACCGATCTCGTGTGGAGCTGGGCCGTCGCTGTCTCAGGGCAGGAGCGGCCCGTTCCAAGGGTTCCAGGCTCTCCCCCCTCCCAGGTGGGCTGCAGACGCGATGGGGCGCTGGCCATGCCCGAGGTCCTGGGACGCACCTGGACCAGTCGCACCAGGGCATCGGTCTCGTCGAAAAAGCTGCTACTGGTTTCGGAGGTCCGCGCGAAGGTCCTAGGTCGGCGCCCCTGGCGCGGCTTGCGCGCCAGGAAGGGGGGTCAGCGCCGATCCAGGAAATCCGAGCGGATCTCCGAAAGTTCATCTTAAAGTGAGTGGTGCCCCATGTCCGAAGTATGGGGTCCTTGTGATCAGTGTCGCGCCTGCGCGTCCTTCCTGCTCGCACTCATGCCCGCCACCAACGGCCTGTCCAAACACCCACACACACACTCACACTCGCACGCAGACTCGCTCACACGAAGCCGATCATACTCAGGCACCCATGCTCAGACTCACTCACACAGACTCGCTCAAACAGACGCGTTCGCACTCATTAACGCCCACCTTAAGTCACCCACTCACACTAAGACCCAGTCACACCCAGTCTCACTCCCGACAGGTATGCCACGGGCCCGTTCGCGCCCAGATTGTCGGGACCTCGCAGCTAGAATGGCCGTGTGAGGCGGTTGACATGCCTCTCTCTCTCCTCCTCCTCCTCCTCCTCTTCCTCCTCCTCCTCCTCCTCCTCCTCCTCCTCCTCCTCCGTGTCTCTCTTCCTCCAGGCCGCTCACTCCTTTCCTCTCTTCCCTCCCCTCGCCAAAGTGACCCTCCCCTCTGCCTCTGCCCGACCGCCACTGCGCCCCCCGCCCCCCCGACCCCCCCCCCCCGACTCAGGGGCGGCCGGTCCAGGAGGGTGCCCTCACCGCAGCAGCCGCAGGTCTCGAGGAGACGCCCCGTTCGCCCGCGGCACGCGCGCCCGCACGCCCGCCCGCACGCCCGCCCGTCTCCAGACACCCGGCGGCATGATACATGGAAATCGTAAGAAAAATCATGAATTTTCCGTCGACTTAAAAAACAACACGAACATCATGTTCTGGTGCTCGGCGCAGATTTCTTGGATCCACGCTGGGGCCCCCTGGCGGCGCCTCTGGCGCCGCCCCTGGCGCGCTCCGCGCGCCAGGGAGGGGGGTCCGGCGCAGATCCAAGAAATCCGATCGGAGTGCAAAAACAGTATGTTTCTGTTTGTTGCCCCCTTCTGCCCATGAGCTCTAGACTCCGTTTAAGAAGATCAACAATCTGGGCTGGGCCCCCTGGGCCCCTGGGCGTTTTCGTGGAGCTCCTTGTCCCCGTCGAAAAGTTCGAATACTGGAACTGGACTGCTGTTTGTTTAATTTATATATATATATATATATATATATATATGAGAAAAAACGCTTCGAGTGAACTTATTTCTCGTAGCACAGAATCTTCTTCACTCTACGCAGGGGAAGACAGCCAAGGCTGAGTGGGTCGACCCTGCCAGATCGAGGGTACCTACCCTTGCGTCCTGCGTTTCGCGGCTCATTCCTGCCATGTGTCGGTGGCAGTGCGCGTCTCTCAGAAGGGTCTCGCGTTCTCTCGCGTGTCCTCTCCAATCAACCTCGACTGCACGAGGTCAACGCGCGGCCCCCAGCGAGCTCGACCCTTCCCCTGGGGCCAGCTCCGCGCCCTATAGGGTCCGTTCCTGTCGGCCCCCAGGGCGCCCGGGGCCGCCCGCCCCCCCCCCCCTTCCCCCGGAGGCCGCAGTCGCAGGCAGAACGCCCGGAGCGCAGACAACGAGAATCGTATCGGCAGACCTCGTCCTCCTCCTCCCCCACTCCCCCTCCCCCCTCCCCCACCTCCTCATCCCCCTCCCCCTCCTCCCCCTCCTCCTCCTCCTCTCCTCCTCCTCCTCCTCCTCCTCCTTCTCCTCCTCCACCTCCTCCTCCCCCTCCCCTCCTCCTCCTCCTCCTCCTCCTCCTCCTCCTCCTCCTCCTCCCCCTCCTCCCCCTCCTCCTCCTCCTCCTCCTCCTCCTCCTCCCTCCTCCTCCTCCTCCTCCTCCTCCTCCTTCTCCTCCCCCCAGACGCTCCAACCTTCTCCTCCTCTTCCTCCTCCTCCTCCTCCTCTCCTCTTCATCCTCCTCCTCCTCCTGCTCCTCCTCCTCCTCCTACTCCTCCCCCTCCCCCTCCCCCTCCCCGCCCGGGTCCCTTTCCCAGAACCGAACCCCTCGCGTCGTGAACAAAATCACGGCGGGTTTATGTTCCGCTATTTTCGGCCTCTGGGGGCACATGACGGCGGGGGTCTGGGCTGTCTTGGATCGAGCTTCGAGCGAGAAGAACAAGGCTCCGCGTTTCGCCCCCCAGGGGCCCTTCGGAGCTCCGTCGACGATGCTGCACCGCGGGCAGGCTGGCCCAAAGAGCCCCCAGCAGGGGGCGAAGCGCGGAGCCTTTCTCGGGCCGAACGCAAGGGGGGGATAGGGAAAGGGGGAGCTACGAAGTCTGTTGCATACAGCTGGCTTCGGCCCCGCCGCTGGGTCCACTCCTCGATACGTGGGCGCCTCTAGCGCCGGGCGGCTCCTGGCAATCGGCTGCGTGACCTGCTTCGCCAATCCCCCCTTTGCTATCTCCGCACTCTAACCCCCGACGTCGTGCTTTTTTGAACGATGTTGACCCCTGTATATATAGATAGATAGATAGATAGATAGATAGATAGATAGATAGAGGTCTGGAGCCTTTCTCCGGGACCAGTCTTTTTTATCTTATTTGCCGGCCCCAAGGCCCGGTTTGGGTTCCCAGAGGCCGAAAATAAGGAAGAGAACCTCCCGCCGCGACTTCTGTCCCTGAGCGCGAGGAGGCCTGCGCAGGCCGTGCGACCCGCTTTTGCCGCTTGGGGGGCTCGAGCCGACGCGCCAGCCCCTCGGCGCTCCCGCGCGCCTCGCCTCGCCCCGCTGCTGTGGCAGCATGGCCGTGGCAGCCCGCACCCCGGCGCGCCGGGCGCGGGGGCTCCGCGCCGCCCGCGGCTCGCAGGTGGTCCATCCGCTCGTCTCGCCGGTCGTCGCCGCCTGCTCCCCAGCGCAGCTTCTATATCAGCGAGCGAAGAACGGTACAAAATAAACTTTCCGCCGCCGGGGACACCTGCCCCTGGGCGGCTGGAAAGTTTATACCCCTACGGTGCCACCGTAAGGGTATACACTTTCCAGCCGCCCTGGGACAGGCGCCCCCGACGGCGAAACAGTTTATTTTCTACCGTTCTTCGCCCGTTAACTATAGGCCTCCCAGATGGGGTCGGAGTAGACGGGATCGGAGGATCGCGCCGCACCGCCGATGCATCGCCGATGCGGCTCGATGCGGAGCCCGATTTGCTCCACGCCGACGTCGCCGATGCACCGCCGACGTCCGCGATGCATCGCTGGTGCATCGGCGATGCGGCGCGATCCTCCGACCCCATCTACTCCGACCCCATCGAGGAGGCCTCCAGGCAGACATATCGTCGATTCCCATAAGATGTGGGAACATCTGGGAAGTGGAGGGGAACGGGGTAGCTTGAGAAAGCATTGAACATGTATATGTCTCGCGTGTTGGCCGATCCGACCAGCACGGAAGGTGCGATAAATGAAAAACACGGAACGGCATAAACATAATTGTTCGGCGGTCTGCGCGGATGTCTTAGATCTGCGCTGGGATCCCCTGGCGGCGCCTCCGGCGCCGCCCCTGGCGCGCTCCGCTCGCCAGGGAGGTGGGTCCAGTTCAGGTCCAAGACATCCGCGCGGACCGTCACAAATTTACGTTTATGCCGTTTTGGCGTCTTCTAGATAACCAGGGCTTGGTTGTTCCACGATTGTTCGAGATTTGGCCATCCATTTTGAGAATTACGATCTCTCGCACCTGCAGGAGCCTCTGAGGCTTTCTTCTGTGCCAGCTCCCTAGCCGCAGCTCCACCATTTCTGCCATTTTTGCCAAGGGTTTCCCAGGCGTCGTGAAACAATCGCGAGGCGAGATCTTGGGCAGTGTTCGGCCTCGAGGGGGCCCTCGCTGGGCCCCAGGGCTGCCAACAAATCGCTCGGGATGAAGATACCGGTCCTGGGGGAAGGGTCGCGACTTCCAGAGACCCCGCATTGATCAAAGATCCAGACATCGGATGTCAGGGAATGGCTCGATGATCCTCACGACGCGGGTCGGCCCACTGTGTGTTTACAGTGGAGACCCATGCCAAGAAGCACCCTGCTTGCCTCCAGGGTGCCCTGGATTTCTTGGGTTTCAATGGTTTTGCTATGGAGAGCGTGACGTTCCCACACCCAAAATCAGTGGACGTCCTGGGGTCTTAGGGTTGGGTTCCTTCTGGAAGGTGTCTTGTGGTCGAGCCCCTACTGTGTCCCTGTTCACTTCTCCGGCACAGCAACGAAGCACACAAAGTGAGACATCGGCATGCCAGCAGGTGCTCCACAGAAGCCTCTTCTCTTATGCCCCAATGGCCCTGTGGGCTCACAGACCCCCTGGAGCGCCTCAGGAAACTCAAATCTCGATGCAGACTGTGCCCCAAGATCTCTCATAGGAAGATGTGTGGTTCGCCCATGTATACTGTAGCATGCAGCCTGCATTGGCCCTCCTTCCACCGCCTGTGTCGTGCTGAAGTGCGGACGAGTAACCTCTATAGGTCTGCAGTTTGGGGTCTTTCGTTTGGGCTCCTTCATCTTGTCGTCGTCGTTGCTGTTGTGCGCAGGCTGCCGCGGAGAGACGATGATATTCCACGACTGTTGGGACCCCAGTCCGTCAAGAAGGTCGCCGAACATATAATGGGTTTCCACCATTGGGGGGGGGGGTCGACCCAAATGGTGTTTGGGCGATTTCGTGGGCCGTATTCGTGTTGATGCTGTTTTGCAGCAAAGGCGAAGCGAAAACAAAACGACAATAAAAAACACTGGTTAGGTAGATTCCTGTTGGGGTGGTCCTAAAGACCTGTCGTAGTTACACGTTTGCGCCGACGCGCGCTCTGCGGATCACTGGGCGGCGCGTTCCAGAGAGGGACCCAGTCCGTCAATAAGGTCGCCGAAAATTGAACTCGCTTCCACAGGGACCGAACTCTATACACCGACGCTTTTTTGCTGCCCTGCACTGAAGTTTGCACAGGAAAGCGAATCTTGGTGTATACGGGATCATGGTGTATACATGTTTCGTTGTTTTCCCGGTACAGCGGGGCAACAACTATACACCACAACGCCCCGACGTCGCCCGCCACCCTCAAAAAGTCTTGGGATTAAAAAAAAGCCCGACACTGGTAATGTACAGTGGGGGCGTTCGTTAAGGAATGTAGCCAAGAGGCTGTAGACCTTGGGGGATTACTTATCCAATGGGGGCGGCGGTGATATCCATTGCCGATCCACGATTGGAGTTCCACCTGGCTTCCAGACCGTGGGTTCCTTATCCGTAAGGGCTTCGCCCCGATGCCGCCGGCCCCCTTCTCTGAGAGTGGGACTTGCCAGAGCTGTGTTGGGATGTCTGGGCGCTAGCGTGAAGCAACGTCGGGACTTCACTACCTGCGGAATATTTCACAACTACGAATAATGAATACTTGTCAAGGGTTTATCGCTCGGGGGGCGCGAATATCGTGTAATTTACACGGGTTATGGCCTCGAGGACGCAACTATTGCGCACTTCGTGTGTATGGCTTCGGGGACGCGAATACTGCATGATTTACAAGAACTTATAGTCTCGAATATCGTATAATCCACGAAGGTCTAAGGCCTCGGGGACGCGAATATTTTTTAATTGTCATAGGTGTATGGGCTCGGGGGTGCGAATTCGGTGTAATGTACGACGGTATATGGCTTCGTGGACGCGAATACCGCGCAATTTACGAAGGATGATGCCTTCGGGGACGCGAATATCGTGTAACATTACGAGGGTGTATGGCCTCGGGTACGCGAATATGGAGTAATTTACCAGGGATTATGGCGTCGGGGACGCGCATATCATAGATTGTTACATGTCCCACGGCCCCCAAGAATTCAGACAACGCTATCTGAGCGTGGTAAAAGAGCTGGTTTGGGGCTCCCGCCCCCTCGCGCACTGAGCAACAGTTGACAGCAAGGAAGCAGAAAGCAGGATCCTGACAGTGGAACCTGCAGGCTGCAACCGGAACAGGGAGCTGCAACCCTCACCCTCGCAGCCTGGTGGCCCCGCAAAGGGGGCCCGCGGATCTGAGGGCTCCTTGTCCCGTGCCCCCACCGTACACATCCTCCCGTTCCCGACTGAAGGCCTCTCGCGGTTGCACGGTGGCGCCGACGCACGCTCCCAGGGTCATCGGGTGGCGCGCTCCAGGCCGGGCCGCGCCCTTGGCAGCGCCTCGCCCTCGGCGGCGGAGGCGGGCGGGGCAGCCCGGGGGAGGGCGGCGGAGGCAAGAGGGCGAGACGTCGGCACGGTTGGAGGCAGTGCTTGCCCAGAACGCCGCCGCCGCGAACTTCGCCTCGATCGGCCCGGCCGGCCTTTCTCGAGGTGCGCCCGGTCGTGGCCAGGATGCCGAGCACCCCCAGCGGCGCCCCGGGACCTCCGACGGCGACGCCACCGACCCAGACCCCCTCGGGTCATGGTAAAATCGTGACGGGAGGCTTTGTCCGTTTTCGGCCGCCGTGGACCCTCGCCGGGCCTCGGGGCCGTTTTGCAGAAAATGAATCAAGAGGAAAGTACACCAGAGCAAAACCTCAATCAGTGGATGGTTTGATAATTAGTGATATGGATACTGAGATCCATTAAGAGATCGATAGTGAGATCGATAGTGGGACCGATAGGGAGGACGCTTGTATGGTCGATCGTGAGAACGATAGTGAAGTCGATTCAATGGGATCTATTGTGAGATCGGTAGAGAGATCGATAGAGAGGTAGGTGATGAGATCGATGGTGAGACCGACCGATAAGAAGATCAACCAGGAACCTGGGAAAAAATATTCCAATCATATTCTAAAATAGTAAAACAATTGTCCCCGGACTATTTCTTGACAATTTTTGAATATTCCTCCTGTAGAGAGACAGGCCCGACTTAAGCCTGGGTTCGGAGCCCAAAAAAATCGGGTCCGACTGCGCCGACATTCGCGCCTGAGCTGCCCGCGTGAGGTCACGCGTGAGCGCCCTCCTCTCCAATGTGGCGTGCCGCACCGGCGGCCCGCGGTTCCGCAGCGTAAGGTCGCCGTGTCATTTGGCGTAAGACTCGTGTCTTTTAGCCGCTCACAGGGGGGCAGGGTAGACGGGGTCGCAGGATCGCGCCGCACCGTCGATACATCGACAGTGCAATTTGATTTGCAGCCTCGTCCTTTCTGCGCCGACGTCGCCGATGCATCGACGCCGTCGGCGGTGCCTCAACGATGTGACGGGATCCTCCGACCCGATCTATTCGGATCCCAGCTGGGTATCTCCTGCTCTGCCTGCCTGCTTCATCTCCTCCTCCTCCTCCTCCTCCTCCTCCCTCCTCCTCCTCCTCCTCCTCCTCCTCCTCCTCCTCCTCCTCCTCCTCCTCCTCCTCCTCCTCCTCCTCCTCCCCCTCCTCCACCGTCGTCTCTGCCTGCTCCACCTGTGCAGGCAGCGAGTCCCAGCTCGGTCGCATCAGGAGTGGGCCTTCTCCCCATGCCCGAGCGACCACCGGGGACCCTCGTGCTCGGTCTCCCTGGCCCGCTGTCCGGCCAGGGTAGGGAGAGACCACGAGCCAGGCGATCCCGTCTCCGCCACCTCCCGGCGGCGGAGTTTCCAGTGGTTCCGAGTTGGCACGATGCCGCAGGGCGCGCTCCGGGCAAGCCTGTGCCGCAGGCCTTCGGCCTGCTCGAGGGCGGCCCGCCTCGTGTCCGGGCTCCTGGAGAGATCTCGTCGCGACAGGTCGGGAGACGAAGACCGACCCAGAGTGCGACGGAGGCGTTCGCTTCTGATTTCAGCAGCGTTGAGCGCGATCCACGACAAACCTCCTCTTCCTCCTCCTCCTCCTCCTCCTCCTCCTCCTCCTCCTCCTCCTCCTCCTCCTCCTTTTCCTCTTCGTCGTCATCATCATCATCATCATCATCATCATCATCATCATCATCATCATCATCATCATCATCATCATCACCCTCATCAGCATCATCATCATCAGCATCATCATCTTCATCATCATCAGCTTCATCCTCATCAGCATCATCATCAGCATCAGCATCATCTTCATCATCACCCTCCTTCTCCTCCACCTCCTCCTCCGCCTCTGCATGATACTGCTGGTCCTCGTATTCCTTCTCCTCCTCCTCATCCTCCTTCTCCTTCTCCTCCTCCTCCCTCTGATCATTTGTTTTGCCCTCCCCCT